AATGAAATTTCGTGAAATTTCTTTTTTCCCCATGAAATTTCTTTCGACCGACAAAATGTCAAATATGCTTGTTTTTTCAAACAGAATTTATTTTTATTTTTAAAGAGAATATAGTGTTCGTCAATTAGACCAATTAAAACTACTTATTTATCAAATATTTACTATTTAAAAAAAGAAATACGTTAGCGAAGGAAACTGTTAGGTAGTTTCTGAAAAATCATTTAAATTGTTTCAAGGATAGTTTAAGATCCCTCCCTCGCTTTTGTACCAAAAAAGGATAGACTATTAGGGGGAACTAGGATTCTTTATAGTTGAGAACTTTGTTATGTTCCAAATATGAAAGCTAACGTCTTACTTTATCCGTAAAATTTATTTTGGTGTTCAACCGGTACGGCTGTGTGTTTAACCAAGATTTGAGAAAAAAATTCAAAATTATGTTTTTGCTGTTTTACTCAACTTTCCGGGCATTTCTAAAGTTCCCTTTCACAGTTTACCACGTGTATATAAAGGGAATTAAGGAGATTCATAAGTTTCTAGGGTTTAATCCTGCATTCTGAGTGTTATATGAAATTTCTGTAAATTTCTGGAAATTTCCTCATGAAATTTCTTTTCATAATTTTTCATTTTTGTAAAGATGTAGCAATTTCTATTGCTCTCAGGAGGAAAATTAAGAATATCAGAGATACCATATGCTGCAGAAGTAAGGGAAGTCAGGAAAGGTTGTAATAACATAAACAATCAGCGCTGATCGCGGCGATTAATCGCTAGGTGTATACGTAATCGCACTGATGGTCTCTGTTGATTGTATTGCGTTGAGCGATGCGACCCGAACCAACCCAATCGCGGCGATTAAACGTCGTGTGTATCTAGGCCTTTAGAGAGTGCTCGAACTGCTCGAGTTCCCGTCGCGCCACGCAGCCATCTTGCCTGCTCATTCCGAGGGGGTCTTTGCCTGCAAAAAGTAAACATCGGCCGTTGGTAGCCGGCGCTACGATTGTTTTGTTGTGAGTTATTGACATGTTGACGAGCGCCGCTAGACGCTAGAGAGCGAGCAGTTTTTGTAGCGCCTTCAAATGGGCGATTATGTAACCCGTGCAACGGCAGTCGGGATATTCTGAGAATGTTCTGAGAAGATTATAAACTTGCACGTTTACATAACATTTTCAAAATATCCTCATAATATTTATTTTGTTTGGTTTTTGCGAGGATATTGTCATAGTATTTTTAAATGATGCGGAGGCGCGGGATTTTTCAGGGATATTCTCCGAAGATAAAATGCTAACTGGGGTTGAATCCCCGAAAGTAATATTTTCCACCTGTCGCTAGGAGGCCAGTGGAGGGTCTCTTGTCTCTGCTCGGAACGTACCGCCCTACCCGCCCGCCTTGATTCCGCCGCCGAGCAGTGGCTCTCCGCTCAGCTGATCGCAAGCGATTCTCCAGCGTGTGAGTCGGCCCGTGTTCAGGCCGCGCAGCGCGCTGCGCCACCTCCATCCGCTCTCTCTACGTATTTCTGTCTCTCTCTCTTTCTGTTTTCAATGCAATTTACATACTGAACACCTTTTATAAATTATATTTGCTAAAATGTAAAAAATGCATGTAACAGGTGTAATTTTCTACTTTCTTTTGAAATCTTTGGGCAAGCAGTGCTTGCCTTGCTTATCCGGACCGCACGCCACTGATCCCCCCTCTCTAAAATCGATAGGAATGGACCAATTTTAAAAAAAACTTGGGCTCAAAATCTTCCTTAGGATATATTGAGTTCAACAAAACAAATTGCAACAAAATCGGACCATGTGCGGCCGAACGCGAGCCGTTTGAACGCGCCGAGGTGCACGCCGCTCCCGCCGAATCCGCGGAGATTTGAAGTCCGCAACAAGAGAAGAGCTTCTCTGCCAACGCTTCAGTCGTTCATCACTGACGAAAAATCAAAGAAGTTTTTGTAGAATGAGGTGCTTACCTCACCAGTCACCTCTCCACATAACCAGCTCGATCCAAGCAGGCCTGAGACTGATTGTGGGACTAAGAGAACAGCTTTTGGATACCGCGCCTGTAGAAGTCTTTCAACTGGCTGGGGATGAAAGTGTTGACGGCTTGTTTGACCTCTTCCACTGATTCAAAATGAACTCCCCCGCGTTCAGATACTAGATACGGTGATAAATGGCAAAAAAGACCACCATTTATTCCCCTTTCTATAATCTGAACTCGGGGTAACTCATTTTGTATCAGTGGAAGAGGTCAAACAAGCTGTCAACACTTTCATCCCCAGCCAATTGAAAGACTTCTACAGGCGCGGTATCCAAAAACTGTTCTCTTAGTCTCACAATCAGTCTCAGGCCTGCTTGGATCGAGCTGGTTATGTGGAGAGGTGAGGTAAGCACCTTATTCTACAAAAACTTCTTGGATTTTTCGTCAGTGATGAACGACTGAAGCGTTGGCAGAGAGGCTCTTCTCTTGTTGCTGACTTCAAATCTCCGCGGATTCGGCGGAAGCGGCGTGCACCTCGGCGCGTTCAAACGGCTCGCGTTCGGCCGCACATGGTCCGATTTTGTTGCGATTTGTTTTGTTGAACTCAGTATATCCTAAGGAAGATTTTGAGCCCAAGTTTTTTAAAATTGGTCCATTCCTATCGATTTCAGAGAGGAGGGATACTTACTTATTGAACGCCCCTCGTAAGTCGCATTGCCAAAATTTTCGAATTTTGGATTTAGGCCCTTTGAGGCACGGGTTAAAATTGTTTTAACATGTTTTCCTTTTAGGGAGTTCATTTAGAGACTACATAGAAACTTTTTTGGGGTTGACCAACTTGATTTTCGCAAAACTCAAAAATAAGGTACACCCTAGGTGGGGGGGATAAAACTTTGAGATAGGAAGAAACGACTATGGACACTTTTGATCAGTAGGTTAAGACCTACAACATATCAAAAAACCAACCGATTTAACCGGGCCCACTTTTCCTATAACATTGGACTGTCGTCCTTTCATGCTCACTCAAGACGCACACAAATTCTAAACGGGCACATCAAGATAGGTAGTAATAGATCAACAAGAATCGATGAAAAAATCCTGAACCGATCGGCATTGATTGATTCGATCGAAAAATAATAGAAATACAGGCTCTTTTTTATTTTCCGATCGAATTAAATCGATCGGAACAATGCAATGCTTCCAGGACTTTATGTCCTCCTACCTTTCGTCCATTAAATAAATGTCCACCGCTATTTATGTCCACTAAATGTTAAGTCCAGTCTTCATTAAGTCCACATGATTTAATGTCCAACCATGAATATGTCCAAAATTGTCCAAATTGTGCGGACATGTTATGTCCACATTTTCATACTCTCATTTAAATGACAGGAGCCACCTCAAAAGTATTCATTTAGGCATTTCTTACATCGCATCAAAAAAATCGACATCGAAGAAATCATTGAGGAAAACGAGGACGGTTTCCTTTGACGGTAAGCTTCACTTTCCTTCTCACAGCCTTTTCCCAGTGAACTGCATTCATATAATGTAAAAATATTTTAAATCTTATAGTAAAACGAAAAGAAGGGTAGGTGGAGATTAAATAAATTTTGAATTTGATTTTAGAGGACTTTAAAATTGTGGACTTAACTTAGTGGACGTTTAAGTAATGGACTTAACAATAGTGTGGGCTTTAGAACTGTGGACGTAAAAATTGTGGGCGAAAAGTCTGTAGATGTAGAAAAAGTGGACATAAAGTCCGTGTACCGTCTAATGCCCTGGAAAATTCCAGAATATTACTTACTTAATGGAGTGAGCAAGAACCTATCAAAATTACAATTTATAGCGAAGCACTTACATACAAGGTGTCCCAAAAGTCCGTACCCCCCCCCCTCGTAACTTTTGAACGGTTAGAGATAGAAAAACGAAACTTTCGGAATGTTTCTATCTTAAAGGGGTCCATCTTCTAGGGGGATCAAAATTTTTGTCCCTCCCTCGAGGGGAGGGGGGGCGAGGGGGCCCCCAACTTTTTTTTTCAAATGGTAACCCCTGTTTTGTGATACATCATTAGAAAGAGCATAAAAAACTAAGAATTTTGGCGCAAACCGCAAATCGATATCTTAATTTTTGACAGAGTTATGATAGGTCAAAGGTCAAATTTGACCTATTTTCAAAAAATCATATCTCCGGTTCAAATTATCGTAAAGAAAAAAATAAAACTGGAAAATTTACCAAATTGTAAGCACTTTCAAGTAGAAATCACAGAAATTACTTCAAACTAATTTTAAGGGGGGTTTCGGACCCCGCAAATACGTCATTTTAAAGGTCATACGATATTCTCGCGAAATGAACCAATTTCCCCTTACTTTTCCTCAACATTATCTTATATTATGTTGAGGAAAAGTAAGGGGAAATTGGTTCATTTCGCGAGAATATCGTAATGACCTCGTATTTGGGGGGTCCGAAACCCCCCTTAAAATTAGTTTGAAGTAATTCCTGTGATTTTTACTTGAAAGTGCTTACAATTTGGTAAATTTTCCAGTTTTACTTTTTTTTTTCTTTACGATAATTTGAACCGGAGATATGATTTTTTGAAAATATGTCAAATTTGACCTTTGGCCTATCATAACTCGGTCAAAAATTAAGATATCGATTTGCGGTTTGCGCCAAAATTCTTAGTTTTTTATGCTCTTTCTAATGATGTATTACAAAACAGGGGTTACTATTTGAAAAAAAAGTTGGGGGCCCCCGCGCCCCCCCCCCCCCCCCCCC